CTCCAGAGAAGGAGACTCCACAGCCTCCCTGGGCAGCCTGTTCCAGTGCTCCATCACCCTCAGAGGGAAGACTCGCACCCAGTCTCACCAGTACCACCACTGGCCAGACCCCATCCACCTCCCCCAGTCCCTCCTGCCCCCGGCTCGGGGAGGGGTGGCGGGGCGCGTTTTGGTGGGGAACATCTTTTAGTTCTTAAAAAGTTCAGCAAGTTCCAGGAACGTTCTGTCACTTTGACGAGGAAATGAATTGCGGGGCCATCAATCAAAGCTGCAGGCGCGCAGATCAAAGGCCCCCGCGGCGCTCGAGCTGCCTTTTACAGCCAGAGCCCTGCACGATCCCCCTCGCCCATATTCCCTGCGGTTGCTGCAGCAACAGCACGCTACGGCGGATGCTTCGCATTTTTATTCGCGCCACACATGTTTCCACTCTAACACCGCAATAACGAGAAAAACCTGCGAAACCAAAGCTGCTTCCCCAGCCTCCAGGGGCAGCGGCTATTCCTGGCTCCCTTTCATGTTCGCAATTTATTAGCGTTATCCTCCTTTTTTTCACGCAGGATAAAATAGAGATTATTTTTGTCCTCTCTAACAAAGAAAAGGAGCTTGCACAAAAAAAAAAAAAGAAAGAACCCAACCCAACCAGCCCTCAGCGTCGAGGCTCAGCCTCTGGTTTGGTGCCCAGAATCGTCTGCAGGAGTAATCAGGTCCTCGGCCATCGAAGCGACGCCATCGGCAGCACCCGGGCCTCTCACCGTCAGCCCCGCGCAGCCCCGGCTCTTCGCAGCGGCGGGGAGGGTTGCAGCCCCGTTTTGCCAGCGAGCGAAGCGAGGGTGGAGCTGGGGGGTGGCACTTTCTCAGCTTCCCTGGCCCGAAACGGCAGTTGCACGCAGACTGGGATGTATCTCCTGACCCAGCCCCACTGTGCCCACCAAGGGCAAGTCGTTGGATCTCTGGGGCGTTGTTGGGGTTGGACCCAGCTCTCCCAGTCACTCCTCTTTGCACTGGTGTAGCAGATGCAACCCTGGTTTATGCCACACAACACAAGAAAAATCATAGGTTCGCCCCCCCTTCCCAAAACCCAAGGATGGAGGAGCCTGCTGTCCACCTTCCTTACACCTGTGGTGCTGGAGCATCAGCTCCACACCCAGCTCTTCTCCAGTGTGCATTAATCCAAAGACCCCTGAGACCTCCTCCCACCACAGCCAACCCAGCTCTGTGTGTCCGACAGGGTTGGGACAGATCCTCACACTCTAGATCCAGCTCAGACAAGCCCAAAGGTGTGACATCTATCATCAGTGAATCAGCAGCAAGTTGCTGTAATAAATTTGATTGCTATTTGTGATATTAAGTGGTTCCTCTGCTTTCCCATGAGGTGTCCTGAGTGGGACAGCGCTGGACGTGGAGGCATGGCAGTGCCACCCTGTCCTTCAGACCGCACGGAGAGCAACCACCTCTTGCTCTGGTGGACCATCCCTGCAGACCTGCGGCAGACGGAGAGAGGCCGGGACGTCCCAAGACAACAGTCTGACGTTTGTGTTGTGTGAGTTGTACTGAAAGGAGGGGAGCAAGCGCTTGTGCCAAAGCTCAGCTCTCCTGGGACTGAGAGGGAAGCCTGGTCCACCACGGGGACAGCATGGAGCGGAGCTGGGCTCACCAGAGGGTTCGGAGACCTCCTCTCGGGGAAGAGACTGAAAGGGCTTTGCTTGTTTTGCAACCAAGCAGGTGGCAGAGAGGGGTCAGACATATCCAGGGCAGAAGGCTGGTGAAGAACATCTACAGATTGTGTGAGGTTCAGAGAGAGAAACAGTCTCGGGCTGACCGAGACATGCCTTCAGCCCACCAAAAGATGCGGTTTTCAGCGAACCCCTTTCTAAAGAAACCTTGGCTCCCACCTCAACCTCGCAAAAGAGCTCCCACGTGAGGTCCTGCGGCCTCTCTGAAGTTCTCGGTGTGCCTCAGCCCTGTTTTTCCAGGCGATGGACTCCCTGCTCCCTCACTCTCTGCCCATGCATGCTTTGGCTGCCCATGCATGCTTTGGTAGTGCCCTTGCCTTCTTTTTTTTTATTTTTTTCATCTTTTTTTTTTTTTTTTTCACCTTTCCTTTCTTTCCAAAGTGCTAACTGGCACCGCAGGAGCCCTGGAAAGCATCTTCCAGGCTCAGATCTGCTGAGGACATCCCAGCGCCGGGGCCATTTCCTACCCAAACCAAAAGAAGCTGCTCAGGAAAGATGGATATGAGAAGGGAGAGGGCGGAGGCAGACCGGGAGGGGAGGTGGGCAGAGGTGCTGGGACATGGTGGGAATTCAAATCTTCCATCTGGTGGCTTCTCACTAGGCTTTTTTTCCTGTTTTTCGCTGCATATTTAAGGTCTGAAATTTTCACTGATCTGTCAAAATGAGCGCTAAAAAACCCCCAGCTAGCTGGAAAAGCAAAGTTATTGAAACAGTTTGGTGACTTGTGGCCTTTCCATTAAAAGTTTATAGTAATATTCTTCCAAAAAACCAGTCACTGAAAGAACAAATTGAAATATTTAAGGGAAAAAATACTCTTGCCACAAAACATCCAAATCTGGGTAAAAAAAAAAGCCCCGTTTGAGCAGTTTGGAGTGTTTAGCTGAGCCTTCCCGTAGATCAAAGCTCATTGTGTTTCTCCTTTTGCTCAAGGATATCAGCAACAATACCAAACTTCACTGCCTTCGTCCAAAACCATTCTCCAGCAAAATTAAATTAAACTTTTTTTTTCGTTTTTAAAAGCAAAGCAGTAAATAAAAAAAGAAATAATAACAAAATGCAACCCAGGCACGAGCCCTTGCTCAGCTGGTGTTAACTGGCAGCTCCCCAGCCCTTGGCCGAGCTGAGCCAGCTCCTCCAGCGCGGGATCAGAGGAGCCTGGATCCTGCCTAAATCCTGCCCTCCCTCGGGTATTTTTTCCTCACCCTTTGTTTTCTCTCGCTTTCCCAGGCCCCTGTGATCTATTGTCTTTCCGCATTATGAGCATCAGATATTAGTCGCTGTCTTGACAACGCTCGCGTGTGAGTAATGTGTTGAGCCGATGCCCTGCCGGCACCGCGGGCTACGGTGAGGAGGAAGGAGCAAAGTCACCGGGCTCCATCCCATCCCAGTATCAACCTGTTTCTGAGCACCTTTGACTTCTTTGAGCAGTATCAGGCATTTTTCAAACACTGGGTCTCTGCTAGCTCCCATCTGCAGCTACTGCCGTCTCCAGAGCGCAGGGAGAGTGGGGCTGAGCCAAAGCCCTCTCCTATCCAAAATCATCGTCCTGCATTGCTCAGGTCTCCCTGGGACAGGGTCGAGGTGGCTCTCTGAGGTTGCCATTTCACTTGGGAACCCACTCAGCATGTAGGACGTTAGAGAGAAACCCAGGGAACAATGTGAAAACACATATTTCCTTAAAATAGAGCAAAGCATCTGCGCGGTGCCTGCAGCCCGAGCGACAAAGGAGCATCCGGGTGGGCATAATTGGGAAGGCAAAGGGGTTGGGAAGGGTTTTGCTGTGAGCACTGGTGGACAACAGGACACGTTGGTCAGCAAGGCTACAGGTGCTTGGCAGGGCTACGGAGCATATTTTTTAAGAAACACCTTGTAGCTAAGCTTGAATTGAGGTTTTTCTACTGGAAATGGGTGTAGCTTGCTGGAGCAAAGTTGGCCAAGTTTCTTGATTTATTATTCAGCCTCACCTCGATGAGAAGAGAGGACATTTGTCCAGTGGAGGGCTATGAGGATGAGGAGGGGACTGGAGCATCTCTCCTACGAGGAGAGGCTGAGGGAGCTGGGCTTGTTCAGCCTGGAGAAGAGAAGGCTGAGAGGGGACCTGAGAAATGCCTCTAAATATCTGCAGGGTGGGGGTCAGGAGGACGGGGCCAGACTCTTTCCAGTGGGGCCCAGTGACAGGACCAGGGGCAACGGGCACAAACTGGAGCAGAGGAAGCTCCAGCTGAACCCTTCCCTCTGAGGGTGATGGAGCCCTGGCACAGGCTGCCCAGGGAGGGTGTGGAGTCTCCTTCTCTGGAGATATTCCAGACCCCCCTGGACGCGGTGCTGTGCAGCCTGCTCTGGGTGACCCTGCTTGGGCAGGGGGTTGGGCTGGGGGACCCACAGAGGTCCCTCCAACCCCTACCATTCTGTGATTCTGTGACATCCTCCTCCTCTTCAGGCTGCTGGGAGCGGGACAGAGGTCCTTGGACAGAAGCTCAAGAGCAGACTGCAGTACAGCAGTATGGGTTAGTCAGGATGAAGGTAATACTGACAAGATGAGAATATTAATTTGTCATATGCTGCAAGACAGAAAAAAAAAAGCCGTTGCCTTCTGAAGGGCTTTCTCCTGCAGCCTCCTGGTCGTGCTCAGCCTGAGTTGTTGCAGCTCCGTCCCTGCCGGGCGCGGGAAAGGTGAGGGATCAGCACGGTGCAGGCTCATCAGTGTAGGAGAACCCTGTAGTACATTCTATATTTCTGTGAGTAAAATGCATTATACATGGCAACTTGTAATGCGTTACAAAAAGGAGCTAATCTAAAAAATATCTATACAGATACAGGCGCATGTCAACTCAACAATTTATGTTTTATTGATATTGTTTTGATGAATTACTGACACTGTTTTAACCCATATTGTTCCCATAATACCCCTTTGTGGTCTCATCACAAGACAGAACAACAAAGCGAGATGTTAGCAAGGGTTGTGGAGCTCTGCTGGGGATGGACCCCAATATTCGCAAGGAGCATCGTGCCAGGACTTCCGTGTCCCTCCGAAGAGACTCGGGGTGAGAGCTCCTGATGACCAGGAGCATGGAGCAATGCCAGGAGAGCGTGATGAGCAAAGAAAGCTTGGACAGGGTCCACAGGCGCTGGAGAAGAAACACCTTGGAGAGGCAGAGAGGGCACAGGCAGGTGATGGGAAGGTTCCCAAAGGTCCAGGACTTCTTTGGGAGTGGGTGGCTGAGCATGGGAGGATCGTGGGTCACCAGTGGGCTCCAGTTTCATGTGATGATTCTACTGGTGTGATTACAGAGGGCTGAAAACTATCCAGTATAAAGAGGGACCTGGGCAGAATATTTTATGCTTTGGTAGTCTGAATCTGGACCTCCAACTCTGGCTAAAAGAGGGTGCAGCTCTCCCAGCATTTCTGCAGGGAGGAGAAAGTGGGTTTATTTGTAGGCCAGTCAGGAGTGGTGTAAGGAAGCAATACTGCTTATAGTGCTTGATTTCCTGGGAAAATCAGGGGCAGAACTGGCTGTGGATCCAGCCAGGAACAGGTTTGGGACCTCTTCCACCCTTTCTATCTGCAATAGCTGCCATATTTATCTGAGAGGAATTTGATGGTATTGAGTATTTGAGTATTGGCTTCCATCTGTATAATAAGGGCTACTGTAGACTGCCTAGGAATGCAGACAGAAGAAGATGGATGGATGGATGGATGGATGGATGGATGGATGGATGGATGGATGGATGGATGGAAACTCCAGTTCATTTTGAATTATGCCATTTCTCAAGAGCAGTATGGATGCCTAGCACTGCAGTGGCTTCCTTTGGACTTGGAGGATACCTTGCACTGCTCATTGAAAAATCCGTTGCTCCACATTTCCACTTGCATCTGTCATAGATAAAAATCTCCTATTCCAAACTGGAGAAGCAAGTATTTCTGGCTGGCTTTTGCAGGGTCAACTAGCAACCTGATGGAGTTCAAGGTGTCCTGGTTTGTTGCAGGGGGGTTGGACTAGATGACCTTTAACGGTCCCTTCCAACCCAAACCATTCTATGATTCTATGAACTGGGCTTAAAAAAGGAAAAAAACCAGACTAAAATCTGAAAAAGCCTCCCCTGAACTCCATGGCTGGTGCTCACATTAGCATAGGCAATGTCCCCTGACATCCGGGCAGCAGGCAGGAGCATCTGTGCCGGAGGGCTTGGGGGTGTCGGTGGAGGAGGGAGGGAGGAAATCTGGAACCCATAAGCTCCACTGATGTTTGTGTTACCTTGCACGGCTGTATTGGTCTGCGCCTGGTCCGCCCACGGTCCTCCTCACCCTATCAGCTAGAGCCATTCCCCAAAGTTATTTGAACGCCCTCCTCTCCGTAACCCAAAGGAAAAACCAGCCGAGCTCCTTGGAGGGCTCCGCCAGGCTTGGGAAGTTTGGGGAGGCTGAAGGGTGGATGCTCCAGGCTGCACCTCTGGAGCGGGCGCTGGCTGCTCTCCAGGTCGCCTTGCCGATGCACTGTGGCCGGCGCCTTCTGGGGACCCTTTTACAAGAAAGCCCTCCGCAGGCGCGGCCAGGGCGCCAAGCCGGCGGAGGACTGCGGTACCCCCTCACCGCAGGGCAAGCGGAGCAAGCGCAGCCCCGTCCCGCAGCCCTTCGAGGACGTCCACACGCAGCGTGTGATCGCCAACGTGCGGGAACGCCAGCGGACCCAGTCGCTCAACGATGCCTTCGCGGAGCTGCGGAAGATCATCCCGACGCTGCCCTCCGACAAGCTGAGCAAGATCCAAACCCTCAAGCTGGCCGCCCGCTACATAGACTTCTTGTACCAGGTCCTGCAGAGCGATGAGCTGGACCACAAGATCACCAGCTGCAACTACCTGGCCCACGAGAGGCTCAGCTACGCCTTCTCCGTCTGGAGGATGGAAGGGGCTTGGTCCATGTCCGCGTCCCACTGAGCCGGGGTACGTATCACCACCTCCGCACATCCCTCGCTCCTGCATCCTCCACGCATCTCCCCAGCTCAGGTCCTACGGGGGAAACACACGGCAGCCGCCCCCTCCTCACGCTCCACGTGCAAGCGATTTGCTTTAACGAACCCCAGACGCTGCCAAGGCCGGGCAGGGGGCCGAGCAATGGAGCCCTCAAGCGACTGATCTCATTTAGCCGGGTCTGGTCTGGGGCAGGCTAGTGAAAGGTTTAAAATGAGGGCTTAAAAATCTGAATTATCCTCCCACGGTAACCCAGGAGGTCACATAAATCAGCAGACACCCTCCCAGATGTTCTTGGGTTGCCGAGGTGTCAAAGCTGCACGAGGGGGACAAGCAGCAGCCCCGCAGCCATCACCTGATGGCTGCTGTTGCTCCCAGCCTTGTCCTTGCCGTCCGGGTGACACTGGGCAGCCCTTCCCTGAAGCTGTTGGTGGCCCTTGGGGCCTCCAGCCTGCTGGGCTTTCTCCTACCCCTCTCCTAAAGCGCTGCAGATAAGGTGGGATCCATAATCCCTTTGGATCTGTAGGTATCCTACACTACAAGGAAGAAAATATGGAGTGAGGATGACGGGGCGGTGAGGTTTGCCCGCTCGTTGCACTGCACCTCTTATTTGAGGTACTCAGCACCACCCAGCCACCGCCTGAGCATCCTTCAGCAAAGCTGCTGAGAGGGGGACAATCCTCTTTCCAGTACTTCAGGTCTCGTTGGGCTGGGAGAACGGGGGAGCAGGGGGAGCAGGGTCAGCTACGTGCTGATGTTTCCTGCAGCCCATGAGCAGAAGCAGAAAGCTCCAAGGACATTCCCAAGCTGTGGACTTCGGGGACACTCCATGGGGGCCCAGCCCAGCTCCCGAGAGTCCCCGTTGTCCCCTAAACAAGATCAGGGCTTCTGGCTTTCCTCGGGCATCGACTCATTAACCTCTGCCTTGTGTCAGCCCCGGCGCTGGGGGTGAGAGGCCGCCAAAGCCTCTGGGGAAACCAACTGCAAAAGGACCCCTATTTTTCTTGCACCCACCACTAAGGGCTGCTCATAAAAGACCCCTTTATTATTATTTTCTGCCAGAAATTGGGGTCAACCTTGTGCGCCCTCCTTATGTGCCGTTTCTCCTCCTGGCCAGTCTCTCTGCAGCCCCGATTCAGTGCGGGGACCTGGGTGCCCGTGCCCGGCCGTGTTCTCCCCGCAGTCAGAAAAGCAAATTCATAGCACGAGAGAGTCCAGACCCTGTGACGAGAGGTGCTGAGCGGGTGCAAGACCCTGATTTAAGCCATGCTGAGCCCCAGCCGGAGCAGGGAGCTGGTGCGATGCTGCAGCCCGACGCGAGAGCGCTGGTCCCTGCCTCGTCGTGGGCGCAGCTTGGAGAGGACGAGGGGCTCTCAGCGTCTTTAGGGTACGTCTGGGGGAAGACACAGTGAAAAAAAAATCCATTCTCCACCCTGGTCTTAGGTTTTTAAAGGCCAGAGGGAGTGGGAAAGGGAGGAAAGTGGCCTTTCTGAGACAAAATAAATCACAGTAAGTTCCTGCAAAGTGGCCCAAGTGGTGCCCGGGCGGTGGGGGACCCTCTGCCCCGGCCGGTGTCCCCACGAGCACCGCTGACCCTCCCCCACCATCGGGCTTTGCCAGCTAACAGCCCTGAATTTCAGGCCAGATCCACAGTTACCCGTGCAGCCACGGGCTAAAGACGTTGACCAGCCCGCAGGGAGATTTCATTGAAGGATGTGCCACATTTTAACCCTTGTTCCCTGCAAACCTCACTAAGATCTCTTCTAAGCAGCAGGAAATCTGCCAGTTTTCTAAACCCAAAGATCTCCATTATTCGGGGCAGACCCAGTTGTTTCAAAACGGATGGCCCTCAGCCGTGGCTGGCTGCTGCTGGGGACACCTTCCCCTTGGGAACAGCAAGAAGCGAAGGACGTGGTTGCTTCTTCTCGCTTTGAGAAGCAAAAAGCTGCCAGGGACAGTCGGGATGCTGAGCCCCCCGAGCAGGGCAAGTCCGTACCCCTCCCCGAGCCGCCCTCACCCTCTTCCAGGCACCGCATTTTTGCAGCCCCGTGAATTTTGCGGTTCACAGCTGGGTTATTCTGTTCTGAGGGACGCGGGGTGCTCCGTGCATGCTCCCAAAAGATGGGGGGCTGCTCAGCGTGGCTCTGCCCTGCTCCGAGGTTTGCAAGAGAGGTGGAACCAGCCCGGCGGGAGCGTGGGTTTCTTTGGTGGACGGTTTTGAAGAGCGTTGTGCTGGGCTGAGGAAGTCCGTGTTGAACGAGCCGTGCACTTCGTTAAAGCCCAGCTAAAGGCATTTTCGCTTCGGGGAGGTGGTGGTGGTGGGGGTTGTGTCCCCATCCCCGTCGCCCCCAGACTCGGGACCGTTGCTCTGGGCGCACGCTGTCTGCTCCCGGTTGCGTGTGTGGGCTGACGTGCAGCTCTGCGTCCGGGCGCTGACTCGTAGACCTGCTTATTGAAGCCGAGTGCTTGGCAGGACTTGTGGTCCCATGATAAACAGAGGAATTAAAGACCCTCAGTGATCTTAAAGACCTCTCTGCTAAATGAAAAAGCCTCCCTGTAAAATCCCTCGTGTCCTGTGAGCATGGTGCTCTCGGTGTGCTTATCCTTGCTGGTTAATATTCATCCCAAGCGGCTCCGGTGCCTGCCTCGAGGCAAAGCATCCTTCAGCTGAATAGATAATAATTTGCTTTGTGCCAACCTGCAGCGGTATTTGGCTACCAATTAGCAGCTCCCAGTTGGGCAGGGAAGTAATGGGAGGAGGATTTGCTAAGCAAAGACCAAAAAGAGGGAACAGCCACAGGGGAAGCGATGCCGGAGTTGGAAAGGCTGCGTCTTGCTCGCCCGTAAGTGAATTAACCCAGCGCTTGCGATGGGACCGTAATTTTATAATGTAAAGCAGCTAATAGCTGCTGCGAGCGCCGGCATACTGGTCTCCACTGGAACTCAGCCTATTAAATATCAAAGGGTGCTGGAATAGCTGGATGTGGATATGCCCTTGTTAACCAGGAGACATCATCCGGGGAAAGAGGGATTGAGCCCTCAGGCGAGAAAAATAATGTTTGAAGTCCCCCAAGCTCACGGTTTTTCAGCACAGTCTTGAGCACATTAAAATGGTTTCTCTTCCTGCTGGAGGAGAAAATGAGGCTGGAAGCTGAAACTGCTGGGGGGGAAAGACTGGCGGAGTCGCAAGGGGTGATATTCCTTGCCCTTCATTTGTCTCCTTGGATTTATTGTCTTTCTCGCGTTGCCCTCACTTAATTGTCTGTCCTGAAAGACCTTGGATAAATCTTCCCTTTGGGGACTGTTGCTCTTGCTTGGAGTCTGCTTTGTCGGGCGGCTCTTTCATTTTCTTTTATTTATAAATACGTCTCATTGCACAGTATTAAAGCACCAGGGTATTACAGGAGCTGGGGGCGAGCTCCCTTCCCTATTCAGATCTGCTCGAAAAATGCATTTAAAGCAGCATCTGCTTCAAGAAGCTGAGATCCCTCTGCAGACTGGCGAGAAAGCACAGTCCCGTCCAGCTAAGCTGTCTTGCCACCCTGGACCAGTCCTTTAAACGCATCGAGAAGCGGGTCCATTTGCTCACTGCTGGTTCAACTGGCAAGGCGGCTCAGGACCCCCGGGCCAGGTTGGAGCAAGCCCAGGCGCTGGGCTCCTCCGTAGCCAGGTCCAGGAGGGTGAGGAATTGCCCTGGCAGGAACCACCGTGCTTTCACTTTTGGTTTGAGCTCTCAGAGGAGACGAGGGGCTGCCCGAACCCTGGGAAAGCTGTGCCTGGGTGATTTTCCTTCTTTCCATTCGGGTCGAGGGCTGTGTTCAGCACCAGCCGTGCTCCGTGCTCCCATCCACAGGCTCTGGCAGGATGCTTCTGGGATTTGCTCTGGTGTGGAGCAGATTTAGAGGCCAGAAGTTTCCTCCAAAGGCTGCTGTCTCATCCCCCAAGCGCAAAGCCAGTGTGGGATTTGCCACAGCGTCTGTAGGGTGGACAGGTAGAAGAAGAGATGTTTGGTGCCTTGAAGACTCCAGCTTTGATGCTCTGGGGCAGGAGGACCTGCCTTAGATGAGGGATGTGGAACATCCCCCAAATCCCAGGGCTGATCTCACGGTCTGGCTCTGGCTGAGGATGCAGGACCAGACGGGGCTGGGGATGCTCAGCCCAACCACCACCATCCCTGGAGATGTCCAGAAAACGTGTAGATAAGGCACTTCAGGACATGGTTTAGCAGGCAGGGTGGTGATGGGTTGACGCTTGGATTTGACGATCTTAGAGGTCTTTTCCACCCTTTATGATTCTAAGATTTTATGACTGCTGTGTGGGAGCAAGGGGTGGCATCACCTTGACGTCCCGAAGCTGCTCTGCCACAGTTCCCGGAGCCCAGCCTGGAGCAGGGAGAGCTGCAGGCTGTCCAGCCATCCCCCTCCAGGTCCCTTGGCACTGGAGCATCTGGCACAAGGACATGTCAAAACGTGACTGGGGCTGCTGTTATTTTTGCTGTTAAAAAGGTCTTTTTCCAGCAAAAACTTCCACTTTTCTATTAAAGATGGAAGAACTCAACACCGAACCTGCCCGGAGGGCACCAGGCTCCTCTCCATCGCAGGAAGGCAGGTTCTCAGCCCTACTCAGGATCAGTCAAAATTAAAACAGAGATAAAAATACAGAGCCAGCCCTCACGAGCATTAAAATGTCTGCTGGTTTACGATCCCTGCGAGGAGATGGGCTCGCTAGATCTCAGCTGCGTTCGCTTAGCCCAGAGGAACGGCTTTGAAACGAGCCCGTATTTCATCGCCGAATGTCACGGGAATGCACCTGGGATCTGAGGGGGAACGAAGGAGATGCGTTAACGAGACGGGCTTTGCATTTAATTTCCTTTTATAGGGCTGTACCTGAACAGAGATGAGGGTGTTCACGCAGCGGAGGGAGGGCAGGGCAGTCGTCGGCCGGGGCGCTGAGGACGGGCTCGCAGA